CTTTCACCTTGATATTATAGTCACCAGGAACAGCCACATCGATGAGGATATATTTTCTTCTCATCGATGTTGCTAAAAAATTATTATTATTATTTTTATTATTATTATTAACAGTTATAAGAAGAGCGTGATTTAAAAAAAGATAAAGAAAAGAAAAAACAGTGTTTGACAATATTAAACAATATTTCAACAGAATGTTTGCATTCTTTAAGTTATATTTAAACAATTCTTTTTCAGGTTTTGTGATGCCAACGAACACTCGTTACCACTTTTGGGATGCCAACGAATACTCGTTGTCACTTTTCTAATGTTCGTTGTAGTAGAGACTTTGTAATCGCAGATTCAACTATAATACCAATTCTCTTGTATGATACTTTAATAGATTGTTTCTACTAATAAAAAAAAAAGTAAAGCCAAAAATATTTACATATTTCTGTTATAGCACAACATTTGCCTCGAGAAGATTAACCTTTCATCTGTCTGAACAAAATGCTATACGGAATCATATGACACAAATCCACATCGACCTTTCTTTAAAATTTTTGTGATGTCAACGGACAACACATAATTGCCATGACTTAAATAACATGATCCAATAGAGAAATAAATAAATTTTCACTAATAACACTGATTTATTTACTGCTGACTTTGATCCTTCTCAATGAAATAGTCTTTATATCAGTGTAACCACTGACAACCTTTGAGGTCATATTCTGCACTTGGCCACCTTCTTGGTCAACCGTAAGATGTACATAGCTCTTTTGATGTTCTCGTGTAACATCGACTGCAATGCTTACTTTAATATCTCTTAGTCCAGTACAAGTTGGGGCCACCACAGATCAACTTTTCTTAGAACAAATGTTTCTGACATCCGATTCAATTCAGACCTGATGTCAATTACATGTTTTTTTTTCTTTTTTGTTTCTTTTTTATTATTATTATTATTATTATTTAAGCGTTTCACCTCAAGCAAGGCGGGAAGCCACTAGGACGCAAGGGGTTACAGAAAATTTGGAGCAAAATCAGATAGGAGTGATAGAAAGGATGAGGAGAAGGATAGTGGATAGATCAAGGCAACTGGAGATTTCGATTGACATTACATTTGAATAGTTGGAGATTATAGCTCTCAGGGAAACAGGAATAGAGAGGGGAGTTCCACAGGCGAGAGGTGCGAGATATGAAGCAATTGGAGTAGAAGAGACGGCTACATTCAATAGTTTCGACAGTGAAAGTGTGAGAGCGGGATGCCAGCCTCGTAGGGCGCTTCAATTCATGAAGTCTGGGAACCAGCGAATGCAGCTCCTCAGAGCAATTGCCATGAAAGTATTTGTAAAACAGACAGAGAGAGACGATGGCGCGTCTGTGAGAGAGTGACTATAGACGAGATACCAGATCAGGGCCAATTATATTACATATCCGCCTCTGGATCTTATCGAGAACCCCGAAGCAAACAGAAGGGGATCCAGACCATATATGGCAGCAATACTCCATGCAAGGGTGAATTGTTGATTTGTAGATCTGAAGGATCGATTCCGGGGAGAAAATTTTCCTGCATGCAACGCGTGTTTCATTAGAAATAACTTGTTAATATTTACTAAGCTTAATACGACACAAACCTCTTGAGCAAAACACCCTAAGAGGATTAATGTCGGAGATTGTATGAAGTAACAAGATCCTGAATTTTCAAATGACTAAATCACTTTATATTTTCAACAGATTTTTTAACTATATTCTTTTTTATGTGCAGTGTCTCCTCAGTACGTAGGTGATCATAGCTCTCCAAAATTTCCTGCACCTTATATCTCTTAATAACCTTTGTCTTTCTGTTATTTCTCCTAAGCCCTATTCCGCCATCCATTTACTCTACCTCACTATGTACGTTATGCGTTGTTTTCCTCTGTCCTTCTTGCCCTCTGACCCGTGAGTATCAGATTTTCCAAGCCCTCCTTCCTCATTATATGCCACAGAAACCTCAACTGTCTCTTCTTGATGTTAAGTTTTAGTTTCTTTTTTGTTTCTATTTTCTCCAAAACTTCTTTGTGGCTCACAAGTTCGGTCCACGGTATCCTCATTATCCTTCTGTAGAACCACATTTCTATTGCTTCATGTCCCATCTTCATCTTTGAGGAAATGGTCTAGCACCCATTGCCATACGAGAAGACAGATATCTGTGACATGGGAAGAAAATGAGTAACTACCGGCACCGAGGTTCGAGCGTGACACTCGGGACTTATGAATATATGTTTTCCGCCAGGTGTATAAATAGCGGTGTCAGACTACTGACTGCAGTGATTATTGAGTGAAACTATCCAGTCGAATTAGTGTGAATTATTGCACGTCGATGATTTGGGTTTTGATTTAGGATTTACCGGACGTTAAGCCGAGCCGCGCTACTAACAAGGTATTCACTGAAATGGTTAATTATCTTTGGTTGAATTTTACTTCTTTGTTCTTGTTAAGTATTTATTTGCGGTTTTAATTAAATACTGTTTTATCTTAACATTGAAGTCTTGAGTTATACTTAATTATTAATGGCCACCGTACGTCACAAAAATATCACATAGCAGTCCAGCAATCTTTTCCGTGTTTCTAGCGTAATTTTTATATTTCTTCGTACTCTGCTAAGCTTTTGGGATGCTTCCTTGGCTATCCCGATACACCTTCGGATTTCAGTGTCACATTTTCCGTCTCAACCCGGTGTAGTAGCACCTGTTAGCGTCTCAGCTATGGGGCAAATAGTGAACCCCCAAACAAGGAACAAAAAAAACTATGAAAGTGTAAAAATAGATTTTAATACTAGCGATATATTTATGGGGGAAAAAAACTACTAGCAATAGATTTTTGAGAAAAAATATTATTACCAGGAATACATTATTACTAGCAGTACATTTTTGAAAAAGAAAAATATTATCAGGGATACATTTTGGGAAAAAATTACCAGCCATACATTTTTGTAAGAAATACTCACAGCAACAAAAATCTTGTCGTCATTAAATAACACATTGAGGTTGAAATGCCGTAAAAGAAACCAAACCAAACCTGGATTGCGCTATTAAATTAAACGTAGTAAGCATTTTTATTAATTGAGAAATTTTGCCTAGTTTGGTACAAGGCCCTAGATATAGGAACACCTATAAGGGGTCAACATTAACTCAACATTAATATGTATTAAATCCTGTAGAATGATTGAATAATGACGAAATATTAAAACTTTTATATTTTTGATATGCTTCAATACTTTTATTGAACCTTCATCAGAAATTCTAGTGGAATTCAGACCCACTCACACACACAAACATACTAATGCCACAAAATATGAACAAGTGAGATCTAACCGACCAATGAAATCTAACTGTACAGAATTCGAAATACAAAATTATTCTCTGCGTTCCTAAAAAGTTTCTGATTAAGCCACAGTAAAAGTAGCGAAACATGTCATATTTATAAAGACTGTCTTTATTTAATCGCGAGAAACAACTAGATTAACTCGCTAACCATCTAACTATGCTGTGGCGTTCAAATAAAAAGAAAAAAAAACATTTCGTTAACACCTATGACAACTGTTGATGGCGGGTCCAAAAAAGAAACTGCAAGATCTCCTATACAAAGTAATAAAGAAAAGCGGGAAGAAAGGTCTATCAACTGCAAGAAGATAGACTACATGGTCATCAACAAAAGGGACATCCCGAGAATTGAGCTACATTTGGAGACGTCATAATCAAGCAAGTACAGAAATTCAATATGTGAAGTGTTATAGCAGACGACAGAAAATGTGAGAGAAATCCGAAGGAAAACTGAAATAGTGAAAGATGCTTTCCAAAAGCTAAACAAAATAATAAGAGACAGGAAAATTTCGTTATAAAAAAAAAAGATTGCAATTCTCCTACATGACAGCAAGTGCTGGACAACTTCCGCACAGATGAAAAGGAGCCAACAAAGATTTGATTCAATAGAGGATATTGAGAATACCATGGATAGAACATGTGTTCAACGAGGAAGATTTAAGGGAAAACGAAAAGAACACTTAGAATTAGAAAGGGACAGTTGAAATTTCTAGGACAACATAAGTAAAAGGAACTACTGACGATTGCAAAGGCCGTGAAACCCAGAGTCGCAATCTCACATTACTCCAACTAAATATCTTAGCTCTAGCACTGATATTGAGCGCTTTTCAACAAGTACCGCGCATATATAATATATAAATAATATATATAAAAATTGCATATATAAATATATATACATATATATATATATATATTATAAATTAATTGATTTAAAATATGTTTTTTTTTCGCTCCACAGTTCTAATCATGTTTCAAAAATGGATGCTAAAAGCTTCGAATTTCATTTTGTAATTAAATTAAAGACATTAGTTCCACTTCATCCTCAAGCGAATTTTGAAGTAACTTATTTTTAAAATACAGTGATAATGAACACGCAAAGATCCCTTGTCTGGATGAATGGATTTCTCTGTATCCTTGGAAACGTGAATTATGATTTTTGCTGTGCCTTTAAAACCCAGTAATTTTAAAATATCTATAAGAACTGTTCCTTCTTTTTTTATTTATATATATATATATATATATATATATATATATATATATATATATATATATATATATATATATATATACATTTGCATATACACACACACACACAATGAAAGAAGAAAAAATCAAAATAGAACCAATGAAAAAAATATAAATTTCATTTTCAACGCAAAATAAAAGAAAAACGAGAAAATAAAAACTCAATTTCTGATATTTCCTGATTAGTGAACGGGGTGACTGCTGGAATATCCGTCTATGAAACTATAGTCGGGATGCATAAGTTAATATAAATCATTTAAGTGAAGAATTTCTATATTTATAATAATATATATATATATATATATATATATATATATATATATATATATGTATATATATATATATATATATATATGTGTGTGTGTGTGTGTGTTTCAAACATATTTGTGGCATGTGTGTGTGTGTGTGTGTTTGTGTTATTAGAGTTTAAACATTTTTTTATGATATACTTTTTTGTATAGAAAAATATATATGCACATATAATTTTAGTAAGCAGACATACCAAAAGCGAAACATAATATCAGGGAAAACACTGCACCCACAAACTAAAAAATGGTTATAATATATATATTATATATTTATGTGAGTGTATAATGTATGTGTGTGTATGCTATCACGAGTATATATGTGCTCCCAATAACATATATAAATATATAAATTATATATATATATATATATATATATATATATATATATATATATATATATATATATATATATATATAAAAAATAATTTGAAGAAATATAGTTTTAACGTGTGCTATATTTATGGGATAAAGTGCTCAATATCAGAGACAGAGCATGTGTAAATATAAAAGTGAACAATGGAGTCAACACTCAGAGGCGACAGGGTATTTTATGCTCGACGCAATCGTCAGGCGGCCGAATGATTGGGTCTAGCATGAAACAGCCTGTCGCCTCTGAGTGTTGACTTCAATGTTCACATAGATATAGAGAGATAGTTGTATGCATGTATATATGTGCATTAGTAGAAAATATGATTTGCACATGTTTGTGTCTGTGTGTGTCTATATATGTATGCACACGTATTTATTGATGGGAATGTATGTGTGCATGTATGTACAAGTATGCAAAAAATTAGGCTCTAATATATGTATATGCCTTGGTGGGTATGCATGTATGTACGCGCGTGTGTAAGTTTATATATATATATATATATATATATATATATAATAGAAATAGTAACGTTCCATGTTCGATTCTCGGTAATGGCTGCGCACTGCTCATGAGTCCCAAAAAAGGACGAAAGGTTAGTCAAGTACATTCTACATTCTGTTCGGGATTCTTGTTCTAGACTCGATGAATATTATGTGAATTATATATATATATCCCTGATTTAAAATCATGCACTAAGTATGGACATTGGGAGGTGATAAGCTAAGGTAATTAATTTGATTTATGATTCCGACTTATCCTCAGAAATTCCAAAGCATTTTCCTTGCACGTAGTTTTGACTTTTCTTTCATTTTAACCCTTTCAGCCGAAACGCGTCGTTAATAAACAATTTTTCTACTTTCTCTGATCCTCATCATTTTTCTTTCGGATGCTATTATGCATCCTACAAATGCAGAAAAAATATTTGTACTTTTTTATTTAAAGTTTTTTTTCTAATTTATTTTGTTTAAACATTTCAGTTTCTTCTGTTTATGCAGCAAAAATCTTCAAACCACACTTTCAAAAAAAAAACCCGAAACTGGTACCTTTCCATTAAAAAAAAAAGAAAATTGTTTTGTTTTGTTTTAACACTAAAACACAATCGTTTACTTTTCTCTAACGCCTGAAACCAAAAATTGCAATTTCTTTTTTTCTTGTCTCTGTTTGCACTTCCGGTCACCCAACAGCAGTCGGAGAACTCAGTGCACGTGCGTAGTAACGATTAAGCGTTGCCTGGGAAACCCTAGAAAACAAATGACAACCAAAAGTGAAAGTCTGTTTTTTGTTTCGTTTTTTTTCTTCTCGTTTGTTTTTTTTTTGTTTTTGTTTTTGTTTTTTTCTCCTTCATTAGAAAGTAAATTAACTTCCTGTCAATGGTGAACGGAAAGAGCATTATGGGATCGAAGTATTTTTTCTGAAATTAAAATGGCCACATTTTGTTGAGTCATTAGTTTTACATGGACAAATTTGCTTGTGGTGTTGACCAATAAGCAGGCGACAGTTATGCGATTCATAACACTTTGAGAATGTCTCTTTTCATGGAAACCAGTTGTGACGTACATATGCAATCGGTCTTTATCACTCATTCATTCTCTTCCTCTCTTTGTGTCTCTCTTTTTTTCGCTCTCTATTTCTTCCTCTCTCTCTTTCTGCACAATGTTTTTTTTATTTATCTACTTCTTTCTCTTTCTATGTCTCACTTTCTTTCTTCTTTCTTTTGTTCCGTTTTTCTGTTTTTATTCTTTCTCTCTTTTTTTCTCTTTCTATATTTCTCACTCTTTTTCTCCTTTATTTTCATTCTTTCTCTGTCCTTCTTGCACTTCCTATCTCTTTTTTTCTTCTCCATCTTTCTCGTTTTTGGCCTTTTACGTTTTTCTTTTTCTCCTACGTTCTCTCTTCTTTTTTTTTCTTTCTCCCTTTCTTCCTCTCTTTTTTTTCTCCCCTTCTTTCTCTTGCTGTATTCAATTTTAGTCTTTCATTTTCTTCCATTCTCACTTTTCTTCTTTGTTTATTTCTCGGTTTCTTCCTCTTTTATCGTGTCTCTTTTTTCTTTCTCTCTTTTCTTCCCTTTCCATATTTCTCTATTTTTCTTTCTTTCTCTCTTTCTCTCTCACACACACACATACGTAAATGCATACATACACGCGAACGTGTGTATGTTTCTCGGTTGCAAATATGCTGAAAAATATTTCAGATTATTGGTAAACAAAAGTTCCATACTTCTTTTTCCATATAAATTAAAAGATAGATTAAAGGTATTAGAGGATAAGAAGCCTTTATCCAAAATTCTTGGGTCTGGAGTTGCTTTGGTTTTCAGATTTTCTCGGATTTTGGATTACAGGCTTTTTAAGTCGTATATACACCCTTATACAAATTAATTGAAACAACCGCTTTAGTTTCCTTTCTTTCGCCATATGGTCAGTTTTAGAACCACTGGAGTGACAGGGTGTAATCGATTTCTATTTTTTCCTCAGATTAGGTCATTTGCAGTGGTTGTGCAGTAATATGAATCTATTTTTCGGGTTGTATGATGAAACTTGTTTGACCTTAAAAATATTGTGTCATCCGTGATTGAATCAGATTTTTATCACGCCCAAACACTATTGTCTCGACTGTCGATTAGTTGTCCTACGGCCATTGTCTGCGATGTACATCACTCCAAGGAAACCTACGGAAATTGTAATGCTGCACGAACACACTGGCAAGCCTTACCAGTGAATAAATCAAAGTACTATAGATTGGCCCGGAAACTCTTCTAATTTAAATCCAATCGAGAATCTGTGGTCAATCTCCAAGGAACGACTTCGTAGAATGGACAAAGTATTAACATGTGCACTGGGTCATGTTTCATTGGAAAAATACATAAAAAATAAATAATAACGGAATTATTCGTTTTGCTTCAATTAATTTTCACAAGAGTGTAGCATCTATTAATTGGTGCAGCATCGGAATGGAACACAAGCATAAGTACGATATCCCTTTATATTTCATGACACGGCTTATATATCTACCCTGTAGGTAATTTTATATAAATAACATATATCCTGAAAGTAGTTTCATATAAAATTTAATAAATTTCGCGTTCACACGAATTTTCAAGTGGTGAAAATTACGGATTTTCAAGTGGTGAAAATTACGGATTTTCAAGTGGTGAAAATTACGGATTTTCAAGTGGTGAAATTAAGATTTCGCGTAAAAATAATGTTTTGTATATTCTGCACGGGTACAAAAACATAATCACGGCTTCCCCAAAAATATCTAAATATCTTTACTGAACACGAAATACCTGTTAATTAATCCACAAACGAAGCTGTTGCTGTGACAATCGCTAAAAAAAAAAAAAAAAAAAAAAACTGGTACCAATGTAGGCTATGTAGTTAGACTGGGGAACCCCGACCCAGAACAAATGATGTGTCACTTAAAACAGCAGCACATCACCTATGAACCTTCCCAGTACTTTCTAAAAATTTTCCATTTGTGGCAAGTCATGTCAGCACCTGATAAAGGATGCACAAACTGTATAAAATTTTATTTATTGTGAGAGCTCCCAATGATTCTACAATCTTCACTATAGCTAGATCAGAACGGGCTGAGGTAAATAATGTTAATGTTTAAATGGTAAATAATTTTTACACATTGGGTCGGAACAGAATTTTGCAGAGTTTTTTTTAAGTGAATTTCAAAGACGATATTTAGGTATATTATCAAGAATATATTATATTAGGTTGTTCGGAAAATGATGCCCAATTTTAGAATGAAGTTTTATTTCTGAATTAATGTATTTAACCCTATGTTATTCACCTCGGTTTTCAGAAAACGGATAGTTCGCTGGGGTGTTTACACAACCAAAGACAAAAATGCTTATAGTGCTACAATTATGTAAAATATTGTCATGATGAAAAAAGAACATAATACGCAATTTCCGTTACAATAAACATTAAATCAAAATTTGAACTGAAGATATAATTATTCATTGAAATGAAAATTATAGTAAATTTGTTGCATTGATTCAACCTTTTGTCAGGTGGGGTGACAGGACACTCCGAAGAAGATAAAGCGATATCTGCCTCCCACAACAACTGAGCTACAACTGCGCCGCTCCGCATGCTACACACTCTCAGGAGAGAAGTGGTGGGGAGCAAGAGCTACCGAGTAGGAATTACGAGTTCTTTGAAATTTAGCGGGTAACAAAACATTGCACGTGACTAACGCAGGGTTAAACAGGGTTTAAATCGATCAAAATCGGGATCCTGAGAATCCACCCCTTTCTGCCGTCTAGTTACAAGATTATGTATACATTTATAATAAAACTCGATGCCTAGAAATCTTTGAATGCATCTTCTGCATCTTATTTGCAACGGAATGTCTTTTGGCTTCACAATTGTAAAGATGCTTAAAAACATAGTAGGCAGTGGGCGAGAGATCAGGAAAATATGGTGGATGTGTCAAAGACTTATTCCGATGAGCGTTGTTATCCAGGCAACATGGTGACCGCGTTTTCAGGAAGCAGAATTGAAACCTCGTCTATTAATCAGTGACGGTTGTATCATGCTTAACTGGAAGCGCATTTTATCTAGTTACTAGCAGTAAACTACGACAGCGATGCTCTAGTTCGATTCCAGGAAGCTGTGATGGATAACGCCAATGGCGAACAACCTGACAGTCACCATAATGTTCTGTTAGTGCAAATTTGGTTTTGGTAAATGTTTGGATGATGCCATTAAACTAATCGTTTACGATTGTCATAAAGGGCCTTTTTCTCATTACGTCTCTATTCGATACAGAAATGGATCCTTCGAAATTCGCAGATGCAAAATCGAACAGACTTTAGCCTATGCTCTACTCATGTTGGCAACATTTTGGGAAGCATTATGACCAAACTTGGACTCATTCAAAAAATAATCGCGTCTTTTCTTCGTGTTCAAGATGAGGTTTATTATAATGCTTTAACTTAAATTGTGAAAGTCATTGCGATAAAATTAACAGAGGACACATTAATCATAAGGAATGAGTAATGTATTTTAGGGAAACTATTATAATAATATATTAGAACACAATTAAAAAGTAATATTATTTCCCAGTATCTACACACAGTGCGCCACGTATGTGAGAACAACATCCAAAAGTAGATATAAAATTAACAAAAAGGACACTTTAATCATTAGGAATGAGTAATATATTTTGGGGCAACTATTATAATAATATATTAGAACACAATTAAAAGGTTTCTTCTAAAATTGGACAATATTTTCCGGACAATCTAATACTATTTTCCAGTATATACACAGAGTGCGTCACGTATTTGAGAACAACATCCAAAAGGAGATTGATAAAAAAAATTAACGCAAAGGGCACTTTAATTATTAGGAACGCGTAATATATTTTTGTGCAAATATAATAATATATTAGAGCACAAAAGGTTTATTCAAAAATCGGACAATATTTTCCGAACAACCGAATACATTTTCCGAACAACCGAATACATTTTCCGAAAATATATAACAGTTATAACGGTTGTATTGTCGGTTTGGGTTCTATGATAGTTCTTGGAATCAAAATGACTCTTTCCAAAATTTCCTGTTGGAAATATTTTCTCAGTCATACGTGATCAAAGGGATTTTATTTATTTTAAAATAATATCTAAAAACAAATACACACACAGGTAAAATAATTCCACTGCTTTATTTATATAATTATTTCAAAATTATAATTAGTTCCACACAAAAACAAAATTCTTTCTTTATCTTTGGGAATTATTTAATCGAAATAAACCTGACCAACTCCGAGAATCTTCCGTTAAAAAAAAATTATTTTCTTACTTTTTTTCGTTTTTTGTGTGCAAAAAGTAATTTCTTCATTTGCTTTTAACCAAATTTACAAGAAAAAACATCTTAAACGTACAAGATGTCGAAATAAAACGAACTATTTTGCAAGACAAATTAGATAGATCGATGTTAACATATTTAGATAGATAGATAGATAGATAGATAGATAGATAGATAGATAGATAGATAGATAGATAATTCCACTGCTTTACTTATATAATTATTTCAAAATTGTAATTAGTCCCACACAGAAACAAAACAATTAGGCAAAAACAAAATTCTTTCTTTATCTTTGGGAATTATTTAACCAAAATAAACCAGAATCTGGCCAACTTTGAGAATCTTCCATTAAGAAAACTTATTTTCTCACTTTTTTCTTTATTTACGTGCCAAAAAGTAATTTCTATAATTTTTCTTCACGAAATTTTGAAATGTCTACATTTAAATGGTAAATAATGTGATGGGCACGTGTTGAATTGTTCCACAGATATTGATATATTAGGTCGGAAAAAGTTTGCAGTGTTTGCTTAAATGAACTTCAAGGACGATATTTAAATAGATTTATTCATATACTAGCAGGATAACCCGTCTTTGACCGGGTCTTTCATTACTGGGAATTTTTGCCGTTCAGTTGGAACAGTTTAAGTTTAATGTCAGCCCACCCGAAAATCAATATTAGTAACAACATTTGGGTGCAACTGAGGAACATCCCCAAATGGGGGGGGGGTAACAATTTGAAGAGGACCTGAAAACGGGAACTGTATAATAAAAAAATAATATTATTGTAATAATTTAAACTATTTATTTTTTATTAATGTTTTTATGAAAGATATATATCCAAGAACAGATAGTAAATAGTAAAACGTTGCTGAGAGTTATAATGGCCAGGAAGTAGTGGAGAGCCATTGTCACAAACAATTTGAACTCAAAACCGGCACTGAAGAATTATCTATCAAACAAAAAAATTTCATCGAAATCGGATGAAAACTGTGGAAATTCATAAACAACATCCGATCACACACACACATACACACACACACATTTTGAGAATTATAGATATTTTTTTAAGCATTCAACCCCAAGCAAGCGGGAAGCCACTAGCATGCAAGAGGTTACAGAGAGTTGCAGCGAGAACAAAGAGGAGTGATAGAGGAAAAGATGAAGAGAAGGTTAGGGGATAGATCAAGGCATCAGGAGACGTCGATTGACATTACATTTGAATAGTTGGAGATTATAGCTATCAGGGAAAGAAGAAATGGGGAGGGAGTTCTACAGGCGAGAAGTGAGATACCATTTTGTTTCACTGATTTCCAGTATTTCTGAAACAGCTTGATGATTCCATCCTCCTAGAGCTTGGCGTATTGCTGAATGATGAAAATGTTTTTTACAGCCTTCCAGAGAATTTGTTTCC